TAAACATTGTATTTAGTGGAAATGTATATATATATATATATATAGACTATAAATGAATTTAGACTATACTAAATATTTTATATTAGGGGACTTATTTTTTACAACAAATACAGTTTGTTGTATTAGAAACCATAGTAACCCTATCCTATTCCTGTTATGCAAAATCTGTTGAAAAATTAATATGATTGTGCTGTAATTTATGGAAGTACTTCTAAAGGGCATACCAGACTTTCACAAATATCTTTTGGTCAAGTTTAGACAATTAAACTTGACTTTATAAATGTATTTATTTATTTAATTGTAATTTTTGTGATAAATGAAAACCTGGCTAATATGAATTCCATATGTAAAATCATAGTAAAACAAATTTAAGTGTTACTTAAACTCATAGTATTTTATATAATTATATTAAGACATAAATGATGGAGACATGAAAATGTGTTGCATAGTAGGAATGACCCTGGTAATGAGGAGTTATCCGTGGTTTTGCTAATGATTACTTTGATTTTACTATGAATAGTAAAATATGGAGGAGGTTTGTAGAGTGTGAATAATCATAATGAGTGTGATCAAATCTTTATTTGTAACAGATGGCAGGACAGAGGAGGAGAAGAAAGCAGAGGAAACTGAATTGTTCACCAAGTATTACACTGAATGGAAAAGAGGTGAAAAAGGAGAAGATGACTCATTTAAACACATCCCACGCTTCTACTACAGGGTGAGTTGATCACGCTTTAATCAGTAATGAGAATACAGTGTTATCATATTTATTTGTAAAATAGTGATATTGTGAAATATTACAATTCAAAATAACTGTTTTCTATTTGAATATATTTTAAAATGTAATTTATTCCTGTGATGAAAGCTAAATTTCAGTCTTCAGGGTCACGTGATCCTTAAGAAATCATTCTAATGCGCTGATTTGCTGCTCAAGAAACATTTCTTTATTATCAATGTGAAAACAGTTGTGCTGCTTAATATTTTTGTGGAATCCATAATACGGTTCTTAGGATTCTGTGATGAATGTAAAGTTCAAGTGAACAACATAAAAAATTAAATAAATAAAAAAACCTTATAAATGTCTTTACTGTCACTTTTAATCACTTAAAGGATTAGTTCACTTCCAGAATAAAAACATCCTGATAATTTACTTAACCCCATGTCATCCAAGATGTTCGTGTCTTTCTTTCTTCAGTCGAAAAGAAATGAAGGTTTTTGAGGAAAACATTCCAGGATTTTTCTCCATATAATGGACTTAAATTATTTTAAATAATAAATATTTTAAATTATAAATTAAATTATTTAATAGACTTCAATGGGGATCAACGGGTTGAAGGTCCAAATTGCAGTTTCAATGCAGCTTCAAAGGGCTCTACACGATCCCAGCCGAGGAATAAGGGTCTTATCTAGTTAAATGATCGGTCATTTTCTAAAAAAAATAAAATAATTGATATACTTTTAACTCCAAATGATTGTCTTGCACTAGCTCCGCGTTGCGCGTCCATAAATTCACGCATTATGTAATCACGTTGGAAAGGTCACGCGTGGTTAGCTCTTCATCTGTGTACTCCGGTTCAAAAAGGTAGGGTAGGGTGAAAAACTTCATGTCATTTTGTCCTCCAACTTCAAAATTGTCCACCATCGTTGTTTTACCTTTTTTTGTAAAGGGCGTTTGACTTTCTTTGCACGTTCGCTTTATAAACATTGGGTCGTTACTTCCGCCTACTTTCCAACGTGATTACGTAATGCGTGAAGTCCAGCTAGTGCAAGACGAGCATTTGCGGTTAAAAAGTATAGAGTTTTTTTTTTTTTTTT